TATAGAATTACACCTCCTCCTCAAGAATTTCAGGATTACAGAATGGCCAAGGCTGGCAGGGGCCTCTGCAGACCATCTACTGCAAGCCCCGCTAAAAGCAGCATCAGCTACTGCAGTTTGCTCAGAGCTGTGTCTAGTTGGGTTCTGAGCATCTCCAAGGATGGAGACTCCATAACCTCTCTGTGTATTTTCTTGCGTTCAGGCAGTTTCACATGCTGTCACTTGTGCCTGTTGCCTCTTCTCCTGTCAGTGGGCACCACTGAGAAGAGCTTTGCTCCCTCCTGTGATTCCACCTATCACACATGCACAGTTGTGGCCAAATAGAGCCCTATACCACTGAAGAGCTTAAGGTTTGTTTTTGGGGTAGGGTGGTGGAGAGCAAGAGGGGCTGTTGAGCAGGGGATCTGTGCAGTACAGCACAGCCTGTGCCTGCTTATGTTAATTCAATTGTGGATTGATCACTCCTCTGTGTACAGGGGCTGCAGGTCAGGATCACTATGCTTGTTCAAACAGAAGTTATATTAGCTGGCTACCATACAACGCCTTCACATGTATTTTCCCTATTAAGTCCTCATAGACCTTTTATGCATATTTTCAAAAGCCCTGCCCTTAGGTCTTTAGAAGTGGATCCTCAAGATATACCTGGCAAGACAAAATGATTTCCTGTCCAAGGCTTAAAATTTAAAGTGTTAGCCTAATTCTCAGCATTCTGTACATCTCAAAACACGACCAAAGTACCACAATGTAGAGCAGAACCATGTCTATATACCGAAGTGCTTTCATATAAGCAGGCTCAGAGTTATGAATGAACATCAAGGGCCCAGCTAGGTAAGGGGTTTTTCACAAACTATCTGGGAGAATCATTTGGTCTTAAATGTTCATTCTTAGTCTAAAACCTAATCCTTCAAGCTTTCACACCAACTAAAGAGTGGAAGAAGCAGATTAAGGACCCTTCACTAAAAACACCAAAGGCCACATTGCACAGCAATTTTCCAATGTGTTTACTGACAGTGGGTGAGATCTTGAAGTAGAAAGTAGAAGAGAAGATCAAAAGTCAAGACAGAAAGATGAGAAAGGAGACAAATCCACAATTGCACCTTCACTGAGTCCCTATAATAGTCCTTGTCAGACTGGAAGGGAGAAGAAAGGAAGGAGATATTTTAGGTCATGTCTATATACTGCTAGGTTTATTAGAACAGAGCCTAATTGATGTGGCAAAAGGAAAAAAAGCTAGTAATAACTCATTTTTTTTTAAATTTAAGTATGACAGAAACTACCTTTTCCAGAGTATTTTTTTTAATTTAAAAACATTAATTTGAGTGCTTTTTGGATGATGGTTCTCAATGAATTAAATTGTTGCCCCGATCAGAATATTAATGAGAAATACATGGCAAGTGAGTAAAGATATACCTTCCATCTTTAAAGCAGTGTTGTTGTTGTCCAAAAGCAAATCCTATTGTTTCCTACCAAAATATCCATTCAGAGAATTCCCTATTTCATGTAATCTGTGCCTGACTCATGTATCCTTCGACAGGTCCTATGACAAGGATAGAATGTTGTTAAGTTCATTTTGCAGATTCTCTCCTGAAGTACATAGCACAAAACACTATGCAGTAGCTGCCAGCACAGTATACAAAATAAGCTATGGATTTCCCCACAAACATCAGCCAAATAGAGGCTTACCTTCCTGAGATATTGAGACTATCTTAGGTCATAACTGAAGAGGCTTCATACCTACACCTATCAGAGCAAACAACTTGTGGTAGACTGAGAACATCACGTTAAATCTTGTATTTGTACAACTGAAATTGTCAAAGATAACAATCAAGTCTTCTAAGGTTTACTTGTAGGGTGGCTTTGGATTTTTGTTGTACTCTAAATCAGAAGTTTTGGGAGGCTTTTCACACAAAGCATTTGAACTGTACACTCTGATTCTCTACAAGAGACTGAAAACTTTAAAACATGAAAAGCCATATTCACTCTGTGCCTTAGCATTGTCATAGGGCAATGCCAAGATTGTGCCTTTGCCAAGGAGGAAGACATAATAAGTTTTCTGTATGATCATAGTCTTCCAGCTTACTTCAGATTCATGCCCTGCAAGAGAGGCAGCCTAGGAAAGCCAGTGAAGATATTCTGAATAGTCAGATGCTACTACTAGCTTTGCACTGATTCATAGTGATACAGCATGCATACTTCCATTTCAGTGAGCAACTACTGTTTCAGATATGGATTGACATTTGTCACTACACCAGAATGTGAGATGTCAGGTGATTTTCCAGTATTCCACAATGTACACTTCCACCAAAAGCTGTTAATCCCCAGAAATACTCCCGCTAGTTATTTTTCCAAGGCTTAATTTCCACTGTCTTCTAGTAGGGGCAAGCCAAGGAACCCTTTTCAGCCTAATAATTGTACAGAATTTGTAGCAAACTAGATGTTAGGTGAGGTGCACATTAACAGTAGTAAAGACTCACTGTCTAGTGAGCTACCTTTTACATGCTGTCCTCTTACACATGTCTAAGCCCATCTCACAATTTTCTAAGCATACCCTCATCTTTGAGCATAAAGGACAAGTAGTACCTATAGGAGGCTTCTGGTTCAGACACTGTGTAAGTCATATCTCCTTGATGGATGCTGCAGTCTCCTGAGGAGGGTGGTTAGATAGTTCAGTTTATTCTGGCCCAGAATTTCTCATTACATGGCCCTGAATAAGGAGGCCAATGGAGATAAGTTGGAGCTGGACCCTCCATGCTGGCCAGGCTCACTTCAGTGAGGGCTTGAAATCTGTAAGAGTAGAAGATATGCACTACTGGGGGAGAGGGTGGAGGTGGAAAAAAGCAGGAGCTCTTCAGAACAAAGTATTTGCATCAGAAAAGCAGTACAAACATTCTACTTTAATTCATGTAATTCTTAATATGATCTGAATTATGCTAGAGCTCTGCAGAGGCTGAAACTACTAGCAGTAGCAAGTGAACTTATCAGGCCTTTGGAATAACTTCCCAATACAGTCAGCCACACACAAATTATCCTTCCATGAATATTACACTTACTTCCTTACTTCAAAACACATTGGAAAACTTCCTGTTATTCTTAGAAAGTCACTGAGTGTGTTAGTTTATATTTTCTGTCTGCTTATACTTGCTGCAAACTCTGCATTTACCCATTGGTTTGGCATTAAGGCATTTGTTTGCATTATTCTCTCCAGACTATTCTATGATGCAGCATTTTCCTCTTCCTGTTAAGACCAATATGGAAAAAATGAGTGCTCTTATATGACAAGTTTCATCCCTCCTTCAAAGCCAAGATGAGGTGTCCTAACATTTGCCTTAAACACAACTATAATAGACAACCTACCCAGGAAATAGCATTTTAAGCCGTTTAAAACAGCAGTCAGTCTAGAACTGAGCTTATGTTCAAAGTTGCTACTACTTGATCATGTATAACATATATACCATGACCTCTTGAAAGCGAATGAGCCTAAAGTTGTAGCAAGAGCTATTTTATAGAATTGGCACGCATTTCAGGTTTAAATCAGTACTATACTGACATTCAAGAATTTCAGTCCCCATACAGACTGAGATGAACAGCACTTTTATTTATTTCAATTACAAGAAGAAAGACAAGTAAACCTTACAACCAGAAAGGCAATGAAGGCCTCATGACCTTAGTGAAAACCATTTAATAATCTAGGCGATGTTATGATTTCTTGAGATGACAAAGAAAACATACCCTCTCTTAAAACAACTTTTCCTCATTTCTATAAGGAAATTTTCCTGTAGGAACAGCACAGTGATGTTAACAGAATCAAGAGGGACTACTGATATACAAAGCCTACATTCACCCTCCCATCCCCCCAGCAAAAGGTTTAAGTGTAAATTTTATTCCAAAAAAGATAACATGCAGTCATGACCACATCTAGAGGAGAGGGAAAAATTAAAGTCTGTTTTTCAAATTATTACTCATTAATGAAGTTAAATGAAGATACTTTTTCACATGGCAGTGTACTTCATGGCTAAAGAAAATTCTCATTTTAAGCCAATGCTTATCTGACTTTTGTAGTAGAGAGAAAACAGCTTATATAAAAACTGATCCCCCTACCAAGTACTCTAGATAAGAACTATGATGTAAGAAAAGTGCTAGAAACACATGGGAAAAATTACTATACAAAGTGTCAAGTGCAAACCCCCCCACCCATTGCCTAAAATTCAGTGTATTTACTGAAGTACAATAGAAAAGACTGAATTCAGGAGTGGTTGACAGTGGGATACAGTGCTACAGGTTGAACATTAGCCTCCAAAGGACAAACTCAAGCATGCATGTATCCCACCACAAGGGAAAGATTTGCTTGAGCTTCCCAGTCTGCTCATTTCTGCAGATTGCTCTGGTATTGACGCCTTCCTCATGACCAACTTAATTCCTGCACTCCTTTGAAGGGACTCCTTTAAAAATTCTGGATTATTTGACAAAAAAAATTCACTCGCTATTTCAAAGAATACAGAACTGGGAAAAAAAAAATTTACAACTCCTCCCTTCTGTTGCTCTTCTAAGTAGTATTAGACCTAGAAAGCATGAGAAAGTGCCAGATCAAGTACTGTTCGATCATCTTTTGCTCTTTGAACAACACAGCTGAGGCAGACCGTAACTTCTTCAGTCAATCTCTAGTTGGTCAGTTCTGGTGCATTTCACCCATGCTATATGTCAGTTCTCAGTTTCCCCTCACTTAAATTGTCAGGGATACATTTATTACACAGTACTCACAGGAAGTCTCGGAATTTCAGGCAGACCTATTCATTCTCAAGGAGTATACTTTTGGTTCAGTGAAGGCTTTTGAGTATCTTAGCTTAAACATTCATTCTGGAGGCAGCCACCAGGATTCCATTTACCCAAAGTACTATCTGGAGTGGGGCTGTTACCATCTTGAAATCACAGTTTAAAGTTAACCAGTAATACAGAAGAGTACTTTTCCATATTTCCAGTGAAGGAGCTGAGAAAAAAAGATCTGTAAGAAACCATTGCTGCAATTTTATTTTAACAAAAGGGCAGATTTATTCATGTTTACAAACAAGTTTCAAAAACAAAAAGGAGAACATGTATGCTACCCACTAACAACCTTTCAAAATGCCAACAGCCCTCATGCTGCATGAAGGATTCTATAGATTAGAAAAAAATCACAGTTCCACTCACAGTTCACCAAGACAGCACTAAACTAACATGATTAGACAAAAACAAAGGACTAAGATTCTGATGTATTTTGATTTAATCCATTTTGCCCAAGATAACAGAAATATTTCAAGCAAGTTCCATCACATATTGATGTCCTGCATTAAACAATCCTAAGTTCTGAACAAAAGTTATTCATTAAGTTTCTCAAAATTTTTAAAAATTAAACAGTTGTTTCAAAACCATTAAGTAGTAAATGTATTTAAGAAACTAATTAGGACAGAGGCCATAACTTCATTAGAACACCACTGCTCATGTTTTTACAAAGCATTAGTGTTATCTATTTGGCTATTAGTAGTAGCAATTTATCTACAATATTTAACAAGGTAAATTGCAGGCAAAATTTAGTACAGTTTCAATAGAAACACCCTTTTCCTGAAAATACAGCAGTATTTGAAGGACTATTTTTTTTTTGGTTTTTATTTTTTTGTTTTCTTTTGTTTTCTTCTCTGCATCATTTATAAGGAAGCTTCCCATCTATGAACAGGAACAAAAAAGTATCTACAAACCTTGTAAACAGATCTGTATCATTTATAAACATAAATAATTCAAATTATTAACAGCCAACAGCAGAAATTAAAGTATCAATTCAATGATCCAGGGCCTCCTTGCCCTTCCCAGCTTTCCCCTCAGAAAAGGATCATGATAAACTAAAGCTCTGCTAACACGCTCTTCAGGACCATTCTTAAATACAACAGATGATCCACAGGTCACTTATGCCGAGTTACTGTTTATCTGTCAGAGTTCATTATTACTCCCACCCCCAGAAAAGCACCCTCCAGTCTGGCAGAAAGCTTTTTTTAAAAAAATAAATCTACATTCGTACAAGTGTGTCTTCTGTTGAAGTCCAAGACAAGAATATCATCTTGTCCATCATAATGTGTGAAGAGACCCAGTTTCAACTTCTTTACAAAGCAGCTAGTGTGTTAACATTCAGCTTACAATCAGAGTGATGTTTCCAAACTATGTAGTGGGCTCCCTGGGGATGAAGAGGTAGCAGACTTATTCATGTCTGTTGTAAGGTGAATTCCACTGTCAACCGCATTGTTATTTTTATTGGGAGAGGGTGGGGGAGTAGAGTTGCGTTTTGTTGGCGCATCATCTTCAGCATCAGTATCATCAATAAGGGGAATATGAGGCTCGGAATCTTCTATTCTAAACTCAGGATGCGTCATAAAATTGTGAATTGAACTTCGTGTCTCAGGTTTCTCTAGCCCCTCGTACAAGGAGCTACGAAATGCATTCACCACTCGGATCTGTAAACAAAGAAAAAAAGGTTGTTAAAATGCTGCAGATTTTACTGGTAATGGCATGGTTCTTATGAGTTTGAATCCACAAACAGCTAGACATGAGTGAATCAAATTTGTATGATGCAGTGGAACTTGCAATAAACTGTAAAAAATGAAGAGCATTTCAGTAGAGCACTGCCAGTCTACACAGTAGGAATAAAAATTGTGAAAGTACTGCAAAAAGCTGAAGGGCCCTAAAAATTCAGACGTGGCACTAGAATTGTTCAATTATTTAACACGGGCTAAGCATTTTTCAGAAGTGAGGCCAACAATTATTTACTTCTTTACAAATTACATAAATCTCAATTAGTGTTTTATTGAATACTTGGGGGAGATTGTAGGGAGGGAAGGAGGGATATGCTGAAAATAAGTTAGGGGATAAAAAGGGTTACTAATTCTCATGCTAGGAATTAGGATGTCAACTGACTATGAAAAAGCCAAGCAAGTGTAAGCCAATGTCACAATGACTGAACATTAACAAAGTCATGCAAAAAGGATACCACTATAACAGCTGTAAAAATTCGAGTATATACCCATTTACCACACTATAGAAAGTTCCTCAGTGAATAGTGCTTTGGAAACTTAAGACCAGAACTATGAAATTGAACAGTGTATTGTACAGTTTAGTAGCCAGGACAGGTTGTAACTTTGAAGAGACTACTGAAGTACCAACAAGTATGAGAAAAGCAGGGTGATCAGCCTTTGCTCGAGTCTTCAATTTACCTTGAATTCATGGACAAAATTCCCAGGCTGAGTATTGTTTTGTATCTTTATATTGTTCAATATTTTTCAAATCAGAAAGCTTACAGATTCATAGTTGAACCTTTCATAGTTAAAAGTATAGCTTCATTTGTGCATGTCTAGGTTGACTTGAATTCCAAATTTTAATTTGAATGATCAAATTTATACTACAGCTGCCCACACCCCCCTTCTCTAAAGTCCCACATTTCCCTGACCAACTACAGGAATTCAGGATTCATTCTTGAACTGATAAAACAAGTCCGTGACCCCTTTGTCCAACACTTCTGCCAATACACAGTTTCCCCCTTCCATTAACTCCCCATTCAATGTCAATATCCGTAAGTCTCCAGCAAAGCAGTGTCAAACAGTGTTAAATAGTAAGCAGCAGAGCAACTCCATAGTAAATAAGAACTTACTGTTACAAACAGCAAGTCAAATTTAAAGCTTTCTTTAGCACATCCAAGATGACCTGTTTCAAGCTGAGAAATACATCATGACTAGTGCTTCCATACTGTTCCTTGATAGTAAAAATAAAGTGACTTCCAGGTGAAGGAATGAGGCTGGGAGGTCAAGCAGATCAAGAGCACAGACTTCAAAGCAGCTAAGATACAACAAGGAAGTTCACTGTAAACAGAGAAGGGCTCCCCAAAAGCAATGCATTAAATCAAATTTGTTGAACAGAATCACTGCACATGATAAAGTCTTATGTCCTGACTATGCTCTTTGACCTCTAGAAATAGCGTTGGTTCCCCATGGCTCCTCCTTCAGACCACTTGCACAAAGAATTTAACTCAAAAGCTATAACGTCCCCATTTTTATACTACAGGTACATGCTGAGCCCAATTCACCATGGAGACAGGGAAGAGGGCACAGGGGGTGTGGGGACAATACGGGGATGGGGCACGCACGCAAGGGGGAGGATATAACTATCAATAAAGGGATCACAAGCAATAGGATGAATGTGCTAGAGAAAAGATTACAAGAGCAGCTAGTACTTTACTGTTCATCCCATGAAAAAATTGAGCACGCTGTCAAGGAGTTGGTGCATTACATGAGGTTTAAACAAGTCCAGCCAGCTGCATAAACTGTCTTGGCACTTACCAAGAAAATTAGCAGTGACAGTGTCAGACTGAAAGTTTGCAATGCCTTTATTTGGCATGTTGCATCCCACTGTGCCATTTATGTCGCAACATGAAATATGAATGTCTCCTGGGACAGTTTTTTATTGCTAACAGATGAGAAGTTAGAACATCAGCAGTAAGGGAAAACAATTTTTGGCTTAGCAGGACAGCTGTAATTATCATAGAATATAAACATACCCACAATAAAGGCTCAGTTTCCATGCAAAATGCATACTACCTAAGTGGACTAGACACTCCAGCAAACCCAGGACCATCAAAGAGTCCAGCCACAAAGGCAGAAATCAAACTATCAGCATTTTAAGCTATATTTTAAAAGGGTAAATCTAGCGTTTTTAAGGCTTTCTTTTCAACTACTCACAATAATTAGACTAGAGGGATAGCTATAAATAAATTGCATAAGTGAGGAGCAAACAAGACAATTTGTTAAGTGTAATTTATACTGTCATCAGGCCTTGCTCATATAAGTACCAGAATATCATGGAATGCAGTAAGCACTCCAAGTCGTCCTAGCCAGATGGCTGCTTAAGAGTTGCAACCTTCATAGGAACAGCTGAACTTTCTTCCAACAAACAGTTCCAAAAGAGAGACAGTAACACATCTGCTTCCCATTAATACATATATTAGCTATCAAAAGTTGTCCTTCTAGAGGGTGTAGCAGAAGGCTGTACTACTTTGTGAGGATAAAAAACTAGTTCTCTCCTATGGTAGCTCTGTATCTGCATTGGTCATTTGATGCAATGAGATGCTGCAGTGCCCAGTAGATTCTGCTCAAATAGCAGCATGGAATGACATTGCTCTCTAGAGAATTCTGAATGTCTAATTAATGTTCTGGAGTGTAGTTAGGGATACAGGTTACTAATTAGCATTTTAACTAGGAGATGCAATCCTGTGCTTCATTTTGTGTTCTTGAGGCATGCAAATTTGTGAGCAGAGCTTCTCAGTAATACTGCAAGGTAGGAAAATAGCTGTCTCACCAATGGAGAACAAAAACAGTGTTAAACACTTGTGCAAGCTCACACACAAATTCTGGCCAAGCCCAAACATAAAAATCAACAAATTAAAAAAAAAATCTGAAGAGACCATTTCATTTAAGACAGCTCCTGAAATTAAGGGTCTTCATCCACCTGGTAATCTGAAAGATTAAGTGGGTAGAGGAAGAGGGAGAAGAAGCCCTCTCAGAGCTATTTTAAAAAACAATTATTTACCAGATCTCTAGAAGTTAGAGAAGGAAGTTAAAAGAAGGAAGTTAAACGTGATATATAATTAAGATGGAAAATTCTTTTAGCAAAGATATTGGCTATCAGTATTTAACTACAACTGCTATGCATCTTCAGGCTCCAAAGTTTAGGCCTACATCCAAGAGTAATTAAATCTCTAGCCTCTACAGAGAGGAAGGCTGAAACTGAAACGCCACTTAATAGCACAATATAGAGAGGGCAGAATTAAGGTGACACAAACTTCTCTTTCACTGATGGCTTATGAACTGCTCCCCGAAGAACCTAGAGAGGAAAAAAACCCTTCAGATTTGAATGGAAGTTTCCCCATTTAATGCTTAAATGTTTTTTTTCTTTTTATGTTAGCTAATTACATATTTCTTCTGACTTGTATGCATTTTAGAAGCCTTGTTTTGCCACCTGAATCCTGATGTTGAGAAAGCTATTATGCAGTAAATAAGGTCCAACGAAAGCAGAGAGTCATAAAGTTCCTCACACGCTACAAAGAAAATGCATTTAGTGCTCCATGCTCTAACTACATTCATATTTTCAACATACCATTTGCTTCCAAATCAGCTCGCTTATTTAAGTATTGTACTGCAGTGCAAGAGATCTATTTTTGTTGGCCTGGGTCCACGATTATACAGTTAATTCACTTATTCAATATAAGTCACCCTATGAGGCATATACTCGAAAATTTACAACAGTTTTCCCTGTTTATCTTAAAAATCCCTCTGTACACGAATGGATGAAGGCACAGGATGTGCAGGCTCACAGCTTTCGCATTAAAGTCTTGTTGAAATTGTTCCACCTGTTCTCAGCCCTCTAAGAAAAAAAAAGTCTTGAGGACTCCACTTTGTGGAAGAGCTCTATAAAAGCCTGAACGATGATTTAAAGTACTAAGGAGAAAATGAGAAACGTTAGGTACGTGAATTAGGAAATGTTAATTTCATGCACTTTAGGAACACACACTCACACCCCACAGTAGTAGAAGCAGTAGTAGAGGAAAACACTACATGTGTAGGGGTAGAAATATTTGTTACATCATGGTGCTGGCTGGCGATGGAGGGTTGCCGCCTTAGAGCCCCCTGAATGGTACTTCCACTCTGGAAAGCATTCACTACATCCATCTGCAAGGAATCAGAGATTGTGACAGCTTGCTCAGCAAGAGAGAGAGAGAACAAGAGAAAGGACCATTCCATCTATAACACACAAAAAAGTAAAGAAAAAAAGGCACTTTTTTAAAAATAGAGCAGATACATAGGCAAGAGTTGCATTTAAAGCTGAAGAAAACAGAGGACCCTGACGGATCACGCATCCACCCACACCCCGTTTTGACAGTCTCAGTCACACCACTTAGAACTGCCACCTTAGTCAAAAGGGCTGGAGATGGAGAGATTTCCCTCATAAAACCCACTGTGTCCTACCTTTTTCAAGACCATACCTGAGTTTGTATTCTGTTTAGGCCTCTAAACCACAAGATCTGACCACGACGCAATTCTCTCTCAGCATGATCAATCTCCTCTACATCTTCTGCTAGTTCTTCTTCAGGAATCTCTTCCTTTTGCGTTCCATGACCAGCTTCTTTGAGGAATTTCAGGCGGCTGGTTGGAATTGTTGAAATCAACTACCAGTGAATGAAATATATAAATCAGGATTATTCTTTTCTTTTTTAACAACAACAACAAAAAAAAAGCTTAGCATGATATCCTGCATACAATTAGCAAAGTTGAAAACAGCAATTACATAAATGCATCAATGTAGAGTGATCACTCCAGTTGAACAGCTGCAAAGCTGTGAATATCCTTACCACCTCAACTGAGGTGCGAAATTAAACTTGGACTACAAAAAAACCTTGCCAGGGACAAAGAATTCCAAGTTAACGTTAGCTGACAATGTCAGGAAGGAGCAGTACTGAAGCTAAAAAGTCATTAATTCTGTAGCTTATACTTGTATCTAGAGCTTTCAGAGCTCCATGAGTTTAATGAGCATGATGTGTTACCTCAAGTGAGACCTACATCACCTAAAGTAGCCACAATTAATTCAGAAACACAGAACAGACATTCATTCATTTGTGACCTGGAAGTTATGAATCCATTTCCAAGGCGAGTGATGTTTTTAAAATTGTATGTATCCCAAACTGTTACTTTGCTACTTGGTGTATAGCAGTTTATTTATCTTAAGCTAACCAAAAGGTACATCTAGCTGTTCCAGCTTTCCTTTTCATCCCCACGTTCAGGGCTATTCTGGTGAACTATGTAGTTAGGGGAGTCATCTTTTCATACATCCCATCTAGCAGCTCCACATCAATTCCAAGTCTGCTTTCCTTGATCATCACAAACTTAGGGGACTATTTCCACAGCTGCAGAGGAAAAAAGACTGCTCCAAAAGCAAGATAAACAGCCCTTCATGCTGAAACTGCTACTATGAATGCTCCCAGCTCTTTGACTTTAATGAGATGCTAGAGCAGCATGAACTGCAGTAGGGAAGCTTTGCCCTTGCAAGATATTTTGGGTCAAAGGTATTTCAAGCCACCTCAGTTCTCTTCTGGGCTACTTTTAAACCTCAGAGTGACTCTATTTGATTTTTTTAAATAATTAATTTTCCAGAGAACCTTATTAAAAAGTGTAACCACTTTTAGAATATGTGTCTATGTATATATTTACAACTAAAATACACCTTACCAATATTATGCTGAAACATGGAGTCTCTTTTATATAACAGAAGGAAATAAACTGTAATGGAAAACTCTTCATGTGGTATGAAAAGTTTAAACAACTGTCATTAAATAATAGAAAACTCCATAGCTCTAAAGTTTCATGTAAATAAGCTTGCTGCTTACAAGCACTGTCATACATGCAATAGTAATGAAACCCTGGGGAAGAGGTGCTAAGTCAAGATGTAATAGCTTAATAGATGGAAAGACTTTCCAATTATTTCACAATTATGCAAATGAAGATTAAAGAGAAAGTTGGTTTGAGTTTTGCTGCCTTTCTTGCTACTCCAGGACATTTTGAAATCAAGAAAATATTAGCAAGTTTAAAAACTCTGATTTTAAAAAAAAAAAAAACAAAAAACATTTAACACCTAGTTAAACGTATTTCAACATTAACATGTTCATTCCATCTTGTATTCTTACAAAACTTTCTGGTACTCATCTGGCTAAAGATATAATTTCATATCTAAAAGGTAACTACAGCTGATTCTAGTTTAAAAATACTCAACAAATCAGCCACAGAACCTAGTTATGAAATGTACCTAACTGACCAACTCTAAGGAATATTCAACTAAGGACTTTCTAGCTATTGAACTAGTCAATTTTCATCAGCATTCACCATTGATCCCATATACCCACATACAGTACACTTGAAAGATCTGAATGCTAGTGTATTTGTATTTTCTATGCAACGTATACTAATACAAGTAGATATCTGGCATTTTGAAAAATGCTAATTTACCTGGCCCCAGAGTAGTGTGCCCATGCCCAGGAAAATGGACCACAGCCACTGTTCAATCGAGAGTTCTGAGCAACTGAAAGGCTTCCCACCAAACTGCACAATAACTATCTGTGAAGAGCAACATCATTAAACACGTATCAGTGACCTGTTACTAGAAAATTCCCTAATGCGTCAAGATCACTACAGGCAACTCTGCATTAGAACAAGATTTCTCATCTTATTAAGCATACTCTTCCACTATCTCAGCAGTTGGAGCAGGTTTCCAAACCTAAGCCATCTTCTTATGCTTTTCAGTATTTCAAGAACTACTCATTCATTCTTCAAACGTCACACTCACAAAAACCTGTCGAGTCCTTCATATTGCTTGCAGTTTTTTCCTTTCATTTCACAATTACAGCATGTATTTGATGCTACAAATTTATAGTGATTATTTCTCCTATAAACACCCATCTCAGAACTAATTTGATTAATAAACTTGTATTAATAGAAATCATAGATGTGTAAGACATGAAATATTTCAGAAGTAAATCTACAGGATACTACTATGTATGTCATCAGTGTTAAATGTCAGATTTTAATCACTACAGTGTGACAACTACATAGGAATCGTGGGGGAAGGGGGCAGAGATCTCAAAAGTTTAATTAAATGAGTTCCTACTGACTTACCTATTACAACAAGCTGTATGAACTCTAATAAGCAAGGTATCCCTCTGGATAGGAACTATATGCATGAAAGTCTGCCCGGGAGAATCAACAATTTAAAGTAACAGGGCAGGCACGAAAAGGAGACAGTATTGACCACTAAGTAGGACACATGACAGCTGAAAAGCCAAAGAGTATCTTCTTTTATTAACACAGAATAAAACACAGACAAAAACTCAGGACTTGGGAAGGCCACCAAGTTTATAAAGGGAACACAGTTGCATGAGTAATTTCTAAATGTTTGGCTTTGTTGCACAACAACAGTCAATCTGCTGCATATGCAACCCTAAAAATAAGAGTAGCTTCTGTAGAAGTGTCATCTAAAAAAACCTAAACCTGGGAGAGTAAGTGCCCTAACTTTACATGAAGCAACAGTGCATAGATTTGCAATGCTTGGACTGCTATGAATTCCATCAACTTCGTAGAATCCCACATCTAAGGAGAAGCGTAATGGGTAGGTTACATCTTACATCTGCAATAAGTTAATTTAAAATGAAAGCGTTCTGAAATAAAGTAGTATATTGATTTGTTTGTTATTTCTTCTGATTAATTAAAGTTAAGGCCCTTCAGAAGGTGAAACTATTTCTTGTAAACTATTTTCTTTAGATTGAATTTTAACTTAGTGTTTTTTTAACACCAGCTTGTTAACCCAATCAATTTAAGATAATTTCATTTCATTTGTCAGCATATACTGAGTTAACTATCTAGCTTTTACAAATCCCCCTACATGCACCTGGACATCAGTTTTCTTCACCTAAAACAGCACCTCTACAGATAACTCTAAAATATATACCAATACATATAATTGATTTCTGCACCGGTAAGATAAAAAGTGATAATTAAGTTTCTAAAGCTTATTCATGCCCTACTCTCATTAAGAAAATATATGTTGTATCTTTTCTATGCTTGTTTAAATGGACTCTTGTTCAGATGCACAGGCAGATACTATAAGGAAGATTTGGGGGCAGGGGATGAACGGACAGATGACACACACAACTTCTTCATATTTTGCCAAGAGACTAGAACACTAAAATCAAATTGAAGGACTAGAAAATTCAAAAGGTACAAGTACTTCTACATTCTGGTTTTACCAATTTCAAAGAGGTCTTACCTGAAAACCCCACGAAGCTGCAAGTGACTTATAGCAAGTCTAACACCGAAGTTTTTTCACACTGCAGAAATTAAATCCCTGGCACTAGCTGACTGGCATTTCAAGGTAAGCAAGTACATCAGTGTACTAGATACATTTCCCCCAACCCTCCAAGAATTTACTTACCTGCACAACAAATGTCCCCAGAACAATAGAACAGAAGATAGCGTTGTTAAAGATTCCTTCAAAAACATTTCTTTCACCATGAATTTTTCGGGCATTAATTTCATTAAAAAGCTGCATCATCACGAATGTATTAAATACTATAGTATAATGCTCTGAAGGAGGAGCATGTAGAGGTGCATTTCTTCCACTATCGATATCAAAAATTTTCTCACCTGTGTATAAAAGGCATTTATCAGCAGCTTAATTAGTGTCTTTACACACACTACAACAAAAAATAGTTTTAAAAATCACATCTCTCTACAACATTGAGAATAACTTCATAAAGCCTCAGTATTCTTACCAGCAAACAGGAGTGTGAATACCACAACAAGTTGGTAGAATGCATGACCCAAAATGTTCTTCATCATTGTACGAGAAATCAAAGGTTTGTTTCTACCATAAGGCTTTCGTAACAGAAGAGCTTCAGTGGGTGGTTCTGTTGCCAGGGCAAGCGAAGCTAATGTGTCCATTATGAGATTTACCCACAGCATCTGCACAGCTTTGAGCGGAGAATCCTATGAAGATAGATACATAAACTCTCCAGTAGAAGTGCAAAAGTTTCAACTATTAAAGGCATTTATTATACAACATCGGCATGATCTGGAAAACATTATGTTCTTTGGACTACAATTTAACTGAAAGTTTGACAAGAGTTAATCAGTCATGACATTTTCAACATTTCTTAGCTGAAACAATGCACTACTGGTACGTACTTGTGTTATGCATGCTCCTGTAAAAGCAACAATTACTGCTACTACATTGACAGTAAGCTGGAACTGAAGAAATTTGGAGATGCTGTCATAGACATTTCGTCCCCACATAACTGCTTTAACAATACTTGTGAAGTTGTCGTCTGTAAGGATAATATCAGAAGCTTCTTTAGCTACGTCTGTTCCAGCAATACCCTGGTAGAAAAAGAAAAACACCATGAAATATAACAAGAAGCACTGACCTATGTGATAAAAGCTATTACTACATCCTTGGTCAGCATTCACTTTGATGCACCATGTCAGAAGGATTCCTTTAATGTAAGTATCTAAAGGCCTACTGAATCAAGTTCTCCTCAAGCATGGGAAAATCTGAACAAACAAACAAAAGAAGTCATGTCTTTTAAATAAAGACCTTAATAGAAATCCCCAAGTTGATGATAAGGACAAACCCGTTCCCCAAAGAAATGTTACTGAACCCTGTTCAAGCTGAACGCCACCAGATGGTGCAGTGCTACACAGTTCAGGCTCTGTCCTAAACGGTTTCCTGTATGGATTCCAGCAGCAGGCAACACATGCGCTCGGAACACAGTAGAATGATAAACATTACAAAAAACCTTTTGCAGAAGAACATTAGCATTAAACAGCGGAATATGCAATGTTATTGCATAGTCATTGCAATGCAATATGACATTCTTAAATTTTAAGCACCTATAGTCTCCTACAGTATCCAAACAATTAAGATGACTTCTGTGTAACACCTACTTCAGAGATCTTTATGTTGCTTTTGGCATTCCAAAACATCTAACTCAATAGCAAATTTAATGAACCTTATTCTTGATATATTACTTTGTCAACGATATGAGTGACCGGCACAACTATGCGTACACCTTAAAAGGTTCCTTTAGATATCATACAGTGGATGATACATAAACTTTAAGTGCGATTTAGATAAGCAGTTATGGAAAATAGTTTCTTACACAGATGAACATAGAAAGCAACTGCAGGAAACATTTAAGTTCTAGAAGAGGAAAACAAATTGGCCCCTGACAGTGGCAAATACAACAGCTACACAGTTGCAGAACACTCGTTGAGACAAGACTGTTACAGTTTAGAGAAAATTTCAGATGTAGTTGTCAAATTTGTAAGTCAAGCTTTTGAAAAATGCTCCTTAAGAATGATATGAAAGCTCTTCCTCTTCCCATTTTTTCTCTCAAGATTAGAATCTGAGTCAGTGCATCTGCATGTGGTGTAGGAGGAGTGTGGTCTTCATTTTGTTTCCCTTCAAATGCTTAATAATGACTTTTTAAAGACTACAGTAACCTGCTAGCACCAAACTGTACCTCTTCAGTTTAAGACTGAGACGGAATCTTGTGGCAAAGGGAAGGTTGAGGAATCTATCTTACCGTGTCTTGAAAGAAGCACAAGAAAGATGAAACCTACATACTTAAGGCATGAGTCTATCTAGTATTAGCACTTAAAAGCCAAGGGTAGTTGAGAATTTAAACTGAGAAATCTAAGGAATCATCCAGACAAATGCAGATCCTAAATTGTCATAAAATCTTGGAGCTTCAGATGTACTTGATATGGCCTCCAAAGCCAGTTTAAACATCAACTGGCAGTCTCCCTATTCCTATGTATCATTTCATTGGAAAGATGATTAAGCTCATTCCATATTGCATATAAGCTTTACTTAAAGTCAACACAGTATGCTATTTACTGCCAGAAGTCACTTTATGTTGAACATATCTCATTTCAGATATCTTCAGTATCTGTAATTCTGTTCTGACACTTTGTAACAAGCTTTGGTGTAAAAGGTTTTTGATTTGCAAGTAACTGCAAATCTGCATTTTTAAAATTTTATTCAATGGCAAATGCCACAAGGACATTTTCCATCAACTAAAACATGTTAAAGTTGGAAGAAAAACAAATTAATATTAGGTAAGAGAGAAGTTGACTGCATTAACTTAGTTGTTAGACTCTTAATCTTAAGTGATTTGGTAAATATTGATAAAATATTGAAGATTTTTAAAAAATCATACCATAGCAAATCCAACATCTGCCTTCTTCAGAGCTGGACCATCATTGGTACCATCACCAGTTACTGCTACAACTTGCCTCTGGTCAAAAACAGTGCTGTCAATTATACCTAAAATAAAATGACATAGCAGCATTACAGCTCTAAATTGACAACACAGCAAAGATTAAACTTGAAAGAGAAAGCCAGTTGTTGTCTTCCTCAGTCTCAAAAAAACCAAACACACCAAAACCCCTAATAAAAACAAAAAAAACCCAACAATCACAAAAGATCGTTCTATAGTTGGCTCTATTTCTCAAGCAGAAAAAAAAATCAGTTGGCAACACCTTAACAGGTGTTTCCCACCACTTAGTCCTATCTTTTTCCCCTAGAAGCGGGAAAAAAAAAATCTAGCTTTACTTAGAAGCTCAGAGTTTTTATTTACCTTTTACTAGAGTGTGTTTGTCAGTGGGAGAAGATCTTGCAAGAACACGAAGCTTTGGCCAAATTTTATCTATTCGCTCTTGCTCTATCTGCAAAAAAAGCATTGGTTATATTTTACAGTTAGGACACTTAAGATATCTGTTGATGCACTTAACATAGTCAGTATACTCACCTCTCCTTTTTCATTGCGTATTCTCCTGTTAAAGTCTTTGCCCTCTAAACACAGGAAGTCTTCCCCAGGATTCAGAATACCACATTTTAATGCAATAGCACGAGCAGTGTTAATGTTATCACCTGTGACCATACGTACAGTTATGCCTGCACGTTGACACTTCTTTATTGCATCAGGTACCTGTAAAAAAGAAAAAAAACCCACAGGCTCAGAGGTTGTACATTAGCTGAATAAATCTAGACATGTGAGTGAAAAGAATGTTTATGGCTCAGGCCAGGATAACTCTTATTTTAAAATGAAGACTGTAGTTATGGAAATTTTTTAAAAAATTAAGTAGCATATCACAATCTTTTTCCTGAAAACACACAAATGGCAATCCTGGCAAAGAGGCTTTGTGTTTCTATCATGTCAGTTCCCCTTCCCCCTGCAATTTTTCAAATACTGCAATATTCAGAAATACCACAAAAATCCTCACAATATGTTAAGCTGTACTGAGTACTGGCATTTCATTCACGATTCTGTGAAATAAACTAGAGCTCATACTCCACTACTTCACCCACAACTTCTACTGTAAAGTGACAACAGTGCTTATATGTGGCATAAAAGCTTTCACTATTGAAAAACCTCCTTAGACCTCAACCACAAGCCAAACTCCTTACCCACAGTTCTCAGGCAACAAACTCACCTCTCTCCATCATCTCCCATGAGAAGCTGGCAACCAGCACAAAGACTAATATTATCCTAACCAAGTAGTCCTAATATTCCAAGAGGTAAAAAAAATGTCAAGTTGTTCCATTTACTGAGACCCTGCATAGTAAGCACCTTAAGTTATTAGTTTCTACAGAGCTTCAGTAACACAGCATAAGTGACATTAAGTAGTTTTAATCTGCTTTTATAGCTCCATTAACTTTCCCCTCAAGAAATTAGATTTTCATTTATTAACTATGCTTAAGGCATACAATAGCAGTTCATTTTATTGTACTCTCTGCATGATGAACAACATGAATCTCTTGTAACAGAACCACTCCAGCTTAGTTGGTGACCCTACCTCAGGTCTCACAGGATCTTCAATCCCAACAACAGCAATGCATGTCAGACCAGTAACAATATCATTTTCGTTGTCCCACTCTGGCTCAGGTTCCCCTGCTGGGAAGTCTCTGAATGCCAGGCAGATGGTTCTGAGACCTTCAGAAGCCATTGGCTCAATTACAGTTTTCACAATATCATCGCGGTCCCTAGGTCTAAATACCTTTGGTTCTCCATTAGCACTCAGTATTTTGAAGCACCTGGAAAGAAAGATTTAAAGAGTTATCAAATTTTAATTAGAAGTTTGGCCTATTCAATGGCTTATTACTGAAGTCCAGTAAGTTTCCATAAGCTTTGTTTTCATTAAACTCACACACACACACAAAAAGCCAGTAGTGGCATCTGTAAGGCAATCTTCTCCATACGCACGTAATTTCTTCCCAAATGCAAAACGTACTTCCTGTAGAAAGTTAACTGAGCCAGTCATCCTAGGATGAAAGTAAAGCTAATGACTTTAGGATACAAACATTAGTTACCTCCCAGAAGTATCCATTTCTGTATTGTATATAAACAGACCGGTGTTTGCACTGGTTGAGTCAGGCAGTCCAGTTCAACAAAATAATCTCACCTTGTTCACAGCTACGCAAGTAGTATACTCAGAAGTACAGCACGATTCTAGAACATGCACGTGCTGCTTAACAGCTATAAGCACTAAACTTACAGCACTAAAAGCAAACTCTGGTACTGCTAATCTTTAAGAGCAGAAAAGTTTGCACCCCTCCCCCCCCAGTCTAAGTGTAGAGAATTCAGAAAGCATGTGGCATGTGGTAATGTGAAATACTAAATTAAAAACAAATACTTAAACTGATTTAAATGTTTGTATAAGAGACTAGATTTAACACTATGGACTCTACCATTTCAGCACATGTCCTTTAAGTTATGCTTCTTCATGCCAAAGATGCCACTACTTTCATAGACAGCACATATACTTTATTTATATTGGTCTCATGAATATAACACTACCAAATATTTTGAACAAGAAAATTAGTCTTGTTCATGTGTCCTTTGCAAAGTTTTGCCATAAAGCAACACCATACACATTTGATTTACAAATTAGTACAAATGCAGCACTGAACAAAAAAAAGTTCATACCTGGAAGATCTGCAAAGATGACTACAATTACATTTAAGTGTTTAGTCTGAGGAGTTAGGGAATTCCCTAAAATGTTTCTGCTTCATACAGGAAATTAAAATTAAGCAGTCCCTGAGAGTTTTAAAATATCCATCATAACTGAAACTTGAAGTTCATCTGAATTTCCTAATTTGGGTTATCTGTTCAAATGTAGCGGTCCTGAAACGTTACATCAGGCATAATTATGAAACAAAGCCCCCAAAACTCAGGCTGCTGGAAGAAATACAGGCATATCAACATCGGAATGATTTTAAGTGGAAGGCTGAGCCAGAAGCACCCATTGATTACTGCTATGTTCACCTGAATCACATCCTCACTATAAACTCCGTGTGCTATGAATTCTTCTGGCCTGGTAAGATGCCTTCAGTTCTTGACTTTCTAAGCAGGGAGTGGTTTTGTTCAGAAAAAAACCTTCTTGGGCCAAATTTTTCTTCAGTAGGTGTCTGTCTCAGTTTTTAGAAAACTTATCTGATGTTATAGGAATGCAGTTAGATGGAGACAGGGGTGTCTTTGTGTCTTCAGATCATGTAGAAATGATCAATTAGGCCCTAATTAGCACAGCACTTACAGAAACAGGTGCCAATAGGAGTAGTCTAGTAGTTTGGTAGTTAACTAAACTTAAGCATCCAGTGAAACCTTTTGCAGAATCAGGGGCTTAAATAAACAGTTTTATATCAGAGAATTACTGTTCATTAGCTATGTGAGAAAGCAGCCATAAACTGGATATGTTGGAGTGAAAGTTTGGAAGCCATACAAGGAGTGGCTGAGGACGTTGCTTTTGTTCAGCCTGGGGAAGAGAGGAGAGCCTTCATCATGGTCTACAGCTTCCCCCTGATGGGAAGCCAGAAGGGCAGGCACTAATCTCTTCTCTGTGGTGCCTAGTGACAGGACCTGAGAAAATGGCCTGAAGCTGAGTCAGGGGAGGTTTAGGTTGGATATTAGGAAAAGGTTCTTCACCCAGAGAGTGGTTAGGCACTGGAACAGGCTCCCCAGGGAAGTGGTCGCAGCACCAAGCCTGCCCAATAAGCATTTGGACAACATTCTTAGGCATATGGTGTAATTCTTAGGGTTGTCCTATGAGGGGACAGGAGTTGGACTTGATGATCCTTGTGGGTCTCTTCCAACTCAGGATATTCTATGAAATATTTGACTTCATGTTAAGGAAAGAAAAAAGAAAAGTGCTCTACTTGAAAAAATTTCTGCATTTCTTCTACTCTTATTAGCGACTCATTTACATCTTATAAATGCTCATGTTTAAGTTTCAGTGTTCAAGAGTAGTCATACTTGTTATAATAAAGATGGAGCAGCACAACTGACAAACCAGGCTACAAGCACCGCATAGCAAGTGGCTTATGATGACAAGACTTTTTCCTATTTGATATATACTCTGAAGTAGTTTGGATACTATTCCAATAGTATTCAAACCAGTCTAGGTTTTCTTGTTCTTTGACAAATGCCCTTATTATTTATTTTTTAACTCAGTTATGAAGTTAAGTGGGTCACGTGAGTCTGGGATGAATGACATCTAGCAACTTCTACAGTTCAACTGCTCAATGTAATAACTTACAAAATAGTTCTGAAGGTAGAAGTAATGCAAATATAGGCATGCTTATTCACCAATGAGATCTGGTTTAAAATCTAGCTATGCAAAAAATGCATGGACTTCAAGTTCCACATCAAAAGGAACAAGAGTCCTTTCCAGATTGACATTTTGTTCTGAGCACTAATATGAGGAGAAGGAAGAATTAATCTTTTCTCTTAAGTGCATTACAACTTTCCTAGATAAAGATTTGGAGAGTTACTAGCAAGCAAAAGGTACATTGATTATGTTAATCAGTTCAATGTGCTACTCAGACTAGAAATAGTTCGACCTCAGAACCAAAACCAGCCTCGTTACAAACTGCTGTTCCTAGAGAACATGAAGCATACACGTTTGATGTCTCTCTTCACCTAGTTAGGAGTTACCACAGCTGCCTTCACATCTATACAGGTTTGTCTCAGTGCTGTCTAATCACTCACTAAGTCTAATCTCATTCTAATAAATCCTCCATAGATGGGCAGATGGATAAGGAAGCAATTTGCTTTGTCACATTAAACCCCCTCAAGTTTCTTCATTCATGTTCAACCTCCCATTAAAATGATCAACTTGGACATCAACTTCCACAATCTAACTAATAGTATGCTAAAAGTAATCACTGTTCAAGGGTACAAGTCCTTCCTGGAATTTAGGCTATCAGCTGTTGGGACTTTACTGGAAGACAGGTGAGCATTTTGACCAACCACACCTAAAAGTAAAATAGGTTAACAAAAGAATAGATCAATTCATAGATGCTATCAGAGAAGAGTTTACAACTTCAAATTAATCACCACCATTTTTTTGGGGGGTTTGAAGTGCTAATTGCCCACCTTACTGTAGCAAGTCAAGCAACTGAAGGAGACAAGCTACGATGCTGGCTGCAACCCTAAGGGTATAGGACTGCTGCACTTGTTTGTGATTAGGGAGACAAATATTTCACAGACTATGGCACAATGTTGTTTAGCACGTCAGTCTCCTCACCTATCACAACATTTAGCGAAATTTAAGTGCTGAATCACAGTAGTAGTTGTTCTTACTTTTTAAGAACTATCTCAGAGGCACCTTTACTGAATATCCGGAAACTGCCATCAGAATTTTTTAACACAGTACTCATAGATTTTCTAACAGAGTTGAAGGTGTACACTTTGTACAAATCCTCTTCTGGTATCTCATTTCTTACGTCCTGATAATCACGTTTTAAATCCAAGAGCAATCCCAGCAAGGCACATTCAGTTTTATTTCCAACATGACGTGGTAGGCCACCTTCTTTTTCAGGAGGCTGCAAGAAGAACAAGAGCCATCATTGAATAGGAGGTTAACTTATAAACCACCGAAGCACAGGATTTAGAAAACAAGGAAGACCAAGCTTAGCTCTGGGATGGGGAAGTTTTACTTTTTCAATGATTACTTTATAAATTCCTATAAGTCATGATCCAAAGTCATACTGCTGCTTTTTTAAAGGTAACTTCTGAACCTGTTTAGGATCCTTCAGTCTGTTTCTCAGACTCAAAAATCACCCATTAAATTCGTATCAATCAACACGATCTTTCTAAAAGGCATTTTCTATTACTTGAAATACTTATCTGATCAACTGTAGACCCTGAACAATTATTTTGGATTCTAAAAGTACAGGTAAGTTCACATGAACTGATTTAAGCAAGTTAAATTGCATTATTTCTGCTAAATTAAAGTATCCTCTCCTGTAATAATTCTTCCTCAATGACTTAGACTACGATCACATCACCGGTTAGCCTTCTTCTGAACAAAGTCTTTAAGCTTCTTAAGTCTCACTACAAGTTCTGTTTTCCAGGCCATGGCCTACTTAACTGGAAAGAGTTCAGAATCAAGTTTCCAACCCTTTAATACCAGAACAAGTTTCTTATCTCAACAATGTGGGATATGCACATACTAGTCCTATAAGTAAAGGAGTATTTCTTTTGAGATACTTGAGCTTATATGGCTATAACACTGCAGTGTAGTTTGCAGCAAAAAAGGGAGAAGCACTTACTCAGTCTGACATGCCTCAGGCAGCTAGAGCTGAACTAAATTAATCGTAAGCCAGTGATCCATTTGCATTGTTCAGAGCCGCAAGATTTTGAATTTGGCAATACTGAATACTTGCACTTTCAAAATGTTCACTTTAACATGCAGTTTAAAGTGTCCAGTTCTGGGCTCCCCAGTATGAGAGGTATCAACATCCAGGCACAAGTACACCCATGGCACACAAAGATAATACAGGGAGGGACTAGAGCACCTGGCATATGAGGAGAACCTGAAAGGGCCAAGACTGTTCAGTCTGAAGAAGACTCTGGGGAAGAAACCTATGAGAATGTATTAAATGCCTCAATAAGGCAGGTGGGTGGAACAATGTAAAGACAGCCAAGCTAGACTTCCTAGTAGTGCCCAGTGAGAGGACAACAGGCAATGGGTACAAACTGAAGCTCTTGAAATTCCATTTTAACATAAGGAAATATTTTTGTACTCTAAGGGTAGTCAAATACTTGACCAGGCTGCCCAAAGATTGCAGAGTCTCCATCCTCTGAGATTCTTAGAGCCTGACTAGATATAGCCCTGAGCAACATGCCCTGGCTGATCCTGCTTTGATCAGGGGGACTGGAACAGAGGATCTCAAGCAGTCTCCTTTAGCCCTCTCTGATTTTGTAAAGCAGACTAACTCTGACCGCATTGGACATAATTCGGTTAAAATGGTAGCAGTAAGGGACTTGGTCAGTTTACATGCAGCTACCTTTATTTTTCCCCTTGCTTTAGAAAACAGATTGTGAAACTCTTCACATGCTATAACTCATCAGTAGTATTTCCATCTTGTTTCAGAAAAATCAGTGCTGTTAAACTTGACTTGCTACCTCAAGTACAGCTATTGAGGAAATTCTTACAGAAGTACCATTTTTATTGGTTGAAAAGCAGCTTTTGGGCGGAGTTTTTGCTGCAGTTTGTATACAAATCATTCATAGTGGAGGCTTCTACTAAATCTTGAAGTGCTAATTTATTTACTAAATCCTAACTACTACTTTTACTTTTTACTGCCTTAAAAAATGTTAGGTAATGTATTGGAATATCTACAGCAAGGAAGCTATGTTTAGAGTTTCAGAAAATAATGCACACAAAAGTGCTAAATAGTCCAGTATTTAAAATGTGTAATAGTTCACTTTTTAAAAAATTTCAAAATATTTTGCAAGGTTTAAACAAGATTTGAGCAAATATAGTACAATTCTAAAGCCTACAAACTTATACAATGGTATCTGAAAAAAAAAAAAAATCCATGAAGATCCTCAACTATACTTACTTTTTTTCATTAGTCTGCTTAATGTTGTACTACATATATATATCTATATTGAAGTAGCACTCAAATCCAGCCAAGACACTCTTCAAGTAAGGTAAACAGCCTCATTTATAAAAACAAACCTAGACACAACTGTGAACTTAGAGGAAGTTATCTTCCTGAGATTGTATCTTTGAATTACCAATTCCAACTGAAATAAGCTATTTTTTTTCCATTTAGTCTCAAATGGAGAGTTCAGAAATTTACAGCAGGTACAAAATACCTTATGCTGCATTGTGCCACAACTTAATTGCCTACCACGTGGCCCCCAGACAATTTGCATTTTTTGCGGAAGTTCAGTTATCTTGACTGGAATGAAGAAATCCACTTACCAGTATTTTGGAAGTATAAGCACAATTAACAGAAATTCCTGTCACAAGGTAAGCCATGGTTTTCTCTGGAATAGCTTCTGGTTCTGGAATTTTTTTATAATGTTTTTCATTGATGTAGGCTTGGACCACCGTCATTCTGTTCATGGTCAATGTTCCCGTTTTATCTGAGCAAATAGCCGTTGCATTGCCCATTGTTTCACATGCATCCAGATGTCTCACCAAGTTATTATCTTTCATCATTTTCTAAGGAAATAAAAGCAGTTAACAGCGATTCATAACCATTACTTCACACTTCAGAAATTCTCATTTAAGATGTCCAGTCTTACACAGCAGTTTCAGAAAACACACAGTTTTTAAGTTATCTGGCATCTTTCAGAGGAAGAATTTGCAGCTGCCACATTCAGTACAGATTCCTTTAAGTCTATTATGTCGCAGTAAACTTCATTTTGAACAAAGTACATGAAGACAATCATAATCTCACGTATCTGCATGTCACGCGGACTACAGATACCATTCCAACTGTTACGAGTAAATAGTTTATGATGATATTTAGAAAGAGAGGTAAAGTTTGAGCTTTATCAGATACAATGTTTAAAAAGTCTTTCTGCTTACAAGAAAGATCAAATAAGCTGTGTTAGACTTATGTGAACCACAGATAATACAGACTTCCGAGATGCTAGGTTCAGACTTAAACCAAAATACAAACTGGGAGCCTAATGTTTCAACTAAAACAGTGAGGACTACACAAGTTTCATAGGTTAAATATTGCTTTAAATTCTTTACTTAACAGGCTTGTATAGTATTTTCAATTCCAAGAGGCAGATTAAGTTCAAGTGATACAACAAAAAGGCCACTACTAGTTAGTGATATAAGTTAAATTTTAGAACATACCCTAACCACCGATTGTCTTTATAATTAGATTTTGAAATAAATAGTCTCAGCATGCTGAAACAGTAAGAAAATTAAGAAAACAAAGAGCTTAAGTTAAAAAACATGCTGTATAATAAACAGAAAGCTAAATGTTTTACAGTATTCCATCTTCAAGGAGAATCAACCTGGAAGCTTTTGTAGCAGATGCTTAACAGTTCAGCTAGGTAGAAGTTCAGGCTTACAGAAGAACTTTATTTACAAACTCCTAAACATCTATTTATTGTAAACAAATGGTACAATGCTATGTACTGAACCCATTCATCTTTAGTTGGTGACAACAGGCTGGCAATCCTCACTGTTCATGTCAGCGTGTATTCAGAGATGAGGAAAAGTACTGCAGTAGAATTCTTTATAGTTCAGGGAAACAAGAAAAGCTTCTTCCCAGTCTATTATATGCATGTGATGCAGCATAATCAGTTTAGATTTAAGAGCTGATGAATACACCGATCTACCTTTAATACCTATTCCCCCTCTATCCACTTACCTTAACAGAGTAAGCCAGAGATATAGTGACTGCAAGTGGAAGACCTTCTGGTACTGCCACCACCAAGACTGTAACTCCAATAATGAAGAACTTCACAAAATACTGAATATAAATTGGTGTACATTCAGCAAGCCAAGGTCTCTTCTGAACCCAGAAGGTATCAATTACAAAATATAACACAAGGATAATGACTGTGATTGCAGACATCAACAAACCTTGTTAAAAAGAGAATGAACAGTTTTCAGAAATTATCTCAAATATTTGGCAAGACAGACTGTAGGTGAGTCAAGTACAAAATACTTCTACCTTTATAGAAGCTAGTTTATAACTAAGATTTTAAACAGCCAAGTCAAAACATAGAGGTAGTTCTCAGGGGTCTTCCAACTTCCAAAGCATGTATTTCCTCATGCATTTCACCTAGCAATTTCTAAAATCTTTTTTTCTTCCATTTAATTGAAAAGCATACAGCTAATTATGAGCAGGAGAGACCAATACATAAAGTCAATTGACTAAGCAGAAATAAGAAGTAAAAAAATTCAGCAGGCCTTCAATGATTGTACTGCTAATTGGTTCAGAAGAGTGCTTCAGTGTCTCAAAGCAGCAGGATAGAAAAATCCATGCATGAAGTATATAGGTATTAAGGGTACATGGGTAATTACAATGGGTCAAAAGGTACATGAAGGAAAACGAGAGCTTTTGAAATATATGAAAAAAACACATTTGACAAGAACAGTAGTTTACACTAAACATACCATGGAAGCTTTATTCAGCATTTGTTAGTACAAGTTCCTCTGAAAAATTAACACTGCTATACATAACTATGGAGTGCTACAGCTGTAAGTTTAATTGCTTCGTCCACAGACTGTAGCACTTTAACGACACAGATGCTGAAGTCAGCCCTTCTTGAGGTTCTAGAAGTTGCTTCTGGCCTGAATCATTCAATAATTCTACTGAACAAAAATGAATCCTGAAATATTTGAATGAAACCACCACACACTAGATAATATAGCCAAAAATTTACACTGAACTTCACTGTTCTTTTAGTCTACTTTCAAGCAGCAACAATCTACCAAATATTTTGACAAGATAGCTGAATATTATCTGATAGAAAAAAAAAGTTACATATCAGCAAGGCATATGTTAAGTGGAAATTCCTAAGCCTCTGAAAGTACCAGAGATAACCTAGTTGACCCTACCACATTTCCTAGATTTCACTCAATCTATAATTCTCTAGATACATTGCTAATTGCCATATCCTATCTACAAAGATCACTCCTAACAGTTGTCTAATGTTATGAAGCTGGAATTTTCTCTCCTAGAAGCTGGCACTTGAAAGCCTGAATCTATTTAAATCAAGGAAAAATAAAAGCCATCCACATGACACAGTTTGAGAGGCCATCAGCATACTCAGGCAGAACAGCATACTTCCATGCTTTAGAACTTTGCACTTAACGTAAGTAGCTAGCCCTGAGTGCTTTGATTATTTTATCTCCTCACAAACTATGCATGTTCAAACTTAATTCCAACATAGTATCAGCATAAAGGAGGGTACTGAGACATCATACCTGCTTTGCCAATCTGAACTGCAAGCTTTGTGAGTTTGCCTTGGAGAACTGACTTTTCTTTCTTTGGCAAGTTTGCTTTCTTCTTGTCTTTCTCATCTCCATCCCCACCATCCTCACTCTTCAGTGGTTGCATTTCCATGGCTGCACCATCTTGAGCTTTAGCTAGAAGGTAGGAAAAAAAATTAGCCATTGGGGAGTCCCCCAGTGGTACTTAAAGAGCTTAACACCAATACTGTGTACTCTTGTATCCAGACAGACCATACTACATGTGAATGTTTAAAGAAGTGTATTGGGTGTAGATGCTGGAATCCCAAGTTCAGTTAAGCATTTGTTTTGGGCAGTTTCACTTAATGCCATCCTTAGCATAAGCACTTTGGATCTAAGGATTCAATATGTATTTTTATAGGAAAGTCTGTATTCATTACATACACGCTCAGAAAATAGAGACTTGCAAGAAAGGATCAGAGAACCTGCATTTACCTTTGTTACGGTTTTCAACAGCTCCATCTTGCTTTTTACCTGTCAGAGAGAGGAACAAGTTGTGTTTTAAATTGGCTGTGCAGAATTCATTTTAATGTTTATGTTTATATATAATGACTACATTAATCTGCTGAAACAAGCAACTGCATTTAAAAAAAAAGTAAAACGTGCAAGTCAGCTCAGAGAAACAGCTCACATCAGTTTTTTGGACTTTACTTTTCCCATGCAAAACTGCTGCAATGTTAATCTACCACGGTTAAGTTTGCACAAATTACTGACACAGACACTTATTGCTTGTGAGGAAAGCTTTAGAAAGACTTCTTGACACATTTTTCTATGAAATATATTTGTTATATTAAAGTGATTCTGGTTGCCTCCATCTTGCTCTGCTCTTCCAACACTTGCCACCAGCATCTGACTACTACTGCAAATGAACTGTAGGATCTCACTTCCAGAACCAGTGCTTTTTTGTACAACATTGCAGAAGCTACTGTAGTATAAAATATTTATAAATCTACAGCCAAGTTAAACAGAGGGATACCACTGGATTACTGGATCTATGCTAACCCTATTTACACAAACATGAACATAATCTGTAAGCAAAATATGATATATCACTATAAGAATAGCTTGAGTTCATAATAAAATATTGCTCCTACTTGTGTTCAGAAACAGAGTTCAACAAGAGATCATAAAGAAGGACAGTAAAATAATGAAAGAATTTAGCAAGTGAAACATTAAAGGTAACTGGAAGACCAACACATCTTATGTTGTTTGGGGGGCTTGGCAAGTGACAAACTTTACTTTTAAGTAGAGAAAGCAAGGCTAATTGAGGAACTTAGAACAAAACCCAGAAATTTTCAGTAGCTTTGATAACTCACCAAGTTTTGGCCCTAGGTTATGTAGACTGAAATTTACAAGAGTACTCAGGTAGAAGAAAATCAAGTTATCAAGTGTGTGTGGCATGACACTTAACACCTCCATCACACTATTACTGTAGACACATAGTCTGATTTCTATACCTAAGATTTCCCCCCAGGCATTCTCACAACAGCTGAGGAAAAAAAAATAGCATGTTCGTTTTCTCCAGATGCCACTTCAGACTTCTAAAGAACTTGTCATTGTTTCCTAATGTAGTATTTTTTCCTTCCTAGGTCCCCTCTCTCTTTTACAAGAGCAAAGTTCTACACTTGAGTTACTTGTAACTCCTTGTTCATACATTATCTCCTTGTACATACATACATTTGCTTTCACTCTGCACCAAGCCATACACAGCCAACTAAATATAGTCCCCTTAATCTCCTTAACATTCACAGAGAGGCTAATTTAGTTTAACCTGAATTTTACCAAGGAGAATCTTATTATGCACCTAACTTAAAGGAAAGAGGAAGCTGTCTATCTTGAGAGACAAAAAAAGAAACCCTGCAAGCGTTGAGGCCCTAGGATACACCAAAACACCACTTGTCAAAGAGACTTCTGCTTATAGAATAATAAACACTGACAGAATATTAATAAAAACTATAATCCTCTCCATATCAGAGGTAGCAGCTGGTACGGTCATTTGCTTTGTCCCCTCTGTAAGGGGAAGAGCAAAGGATGGCAACTGTTTCACACTAATCCCTGGAAGGCAGGTCTTCACTATCATGCTTGAAACTCATTTAGAACTTTCAATTCTTCTGGTAACCATTTTTCTACCTTCTGAATAAATTTACTACTTTTTTCAAGTTTCTAGAAGGATCAGAATTGTAAAGTATTTGTGTGTTAGGTCAAGACAAAAAGAGTTCAATCTCAATTCTTGCAGAGAGCACACACTTCATTTCCATTATTGTTTCATATTCCTTTGATGAAAAAGTATATTTTGATTTATATTTATATTTTTTGGTTCTGCTGTCAAGAACCCTCAGACTCAGTCCCATCCAGTAGACTTCATAGCAGTTTCTTGAAAAATTTGTACCATGGTGAAAAACTCAGTCCTGAACATGCCTTGTAAGCGCTAATATCAAAACATTACTTAAAAGCTTAACATTTCCAAGCTTTGATTCTAAGGGTAAAGGCTATGGCTTAGATAAGTAACCTTATAATAAGGAAGACAGCCCACTCCACTCTTCACGGAAGGGCTCCAAAATACACTCAGTTACAAGCCCCTCATCCCTCCAAAAATAAGGATTAAAGAAAAGTGCTACCAGGGATTTGCCTCGTGTATATGTCTGAGCATTCAAAACTTCACCTCTGGAAGAAACGGAGCAGCAGGAGAAGCCATCTGCTCATCTTTTATTAAAATCAGTCTCATATATGCTTAAACTATCCACAAACTCAGCAGTATCAAAGATACGTTTTTCCCTTCAAGCGTCCCAGAAGAATGCCCTAAAAGGGGCATTTTCTATCTGTCAAATGCAGAACTAGATCCTTACTAGGTTGAATTATATAATAACCTGTTTGCCATAAACAAATATTTGCTATTAAACATGAATGTACTTTGAAGTTACAGAAGATGACAGTTTAACTATTTATAAATAGCATGGCTGGTTAGGAGTTGTAAACTTTCCAAACTCTACTTGATCAATGAGATTTGAAGTTTAATTAAAAATCCATGTGACAATAGTTCGAAGTAGTGATGCACTCTTAGGTCACTGGACTAGAGTTGGTCTTTTTTCCTGTCAAACCTACGGAAACTATGAATTATAAAAAATGATTTCTGACTCCAGATCACTAAGAAGTTTTTATCCAGTAATGTTCAAGGGTTCACCCCTCCTTCCCTAGGGATTTGAGATTATTAGGCCTACTTTTCTTGTCCTTCTTCTCTTTTTCCTTCTCCTTCTCCTCTTCATCTCCTCCAGCCCCAAGTAAAGTGAAGATGATTCCAGTCTGAGAGTTAACACCTACAGCAGTAACCACCATTCTTCCAGAGCCTTCCATCACATGTGTACCTGAAAGATTAAATCAGGTTTTCCACCATGACTTCAGCAGTTATATGGCAGACCACATAAGTACTTTAAGGAAATAAGTATTCAAACTTCACGTTAACAAAATGAAAATGTGTATATACACCACTGTGCTCCTCTAAAGCTTTAATCGCGAAAGCTATCTGAAAAGGAAAATCATTAGCAGCTACACAAAATGTTTGTCAGTTTTAAGGGTCTGTTCCCTCTGACAGTTTTGTAGCAGTAACACTGGTTTGGATACTTTTAGGAGACAACAAGGTACAGTTTGCTAGATTTTAACCTCAAAATTTTAAATAACCAGTTTACCCTAGAAAAAAGCCACTTTCTTCAAGCATTGTCATATGCTACACACCTGACAGCAGCATAGGATCTCTGTCCAGCGATTTCTTAACATGATCAGATTCTCCAGTCAGTGAGCTTTCATCAATTTTGAGGTCATTTCCTTGAATGAGTACACCATCAGCTGGCAAAAGGTCACCTACAAGAGATCATTGGGTATGTTGACTGCTGTTCCTTTTTTAAAACTAAAAGAAAGTTCAACTTTAAAAATATGTTTACCATATTTCACTTGTGCAATATCTCCAACAATTATGTCAGCTACTGGTATTTGGATGACTTGACCACCTCTGATGACTGTGAATTTCTGTTCTTGTTCAATACGGCTCTGCAATCCCCGAAATTGTTTCTCCTTGCTCCAGTCATTGAAAGCTGTTACTAATACCACACAAACTACAGATAGGAGGATTGCTGCTCCTTCAATCCAACCTGCTTCAGATTCCTCCTCTTCTTCACCAACATTTACTGATCCACATACTGCAGAAAACAGGTTTTAGATTTAACAAAGTCCAAATAAATAGTTATTTCAACAATAAAAAAAAATTGCCAAAACAAAGAAACTACTAATAGTTGCTAAACATTTTCTGTGCTAGCCTTCTTCGCAATTTTACCTTTATTCTCCATAAGGGTAACACGTAAAGAAGCCAAAGAACCTGAAAGCTAGAGCAACTTGAGGAATTTAAACCACCCTGCTTATCTGAACACAAGAGAAGTTAATATAGAAAGTTACCTGTCCTTATTATCTTGTTAAGTGATGGCATAAGAATGCCAGACTAGTTAATCACCTTCTGCTTTCTTAACATATCCCACTTTGTCTTAACAAGTCAGATATCATTACAAAAATTCAGTTCAATGAGGGCCTGATCCCTTTATTTTCTGTTTAGAAGCATAAATATATCTTCATTTCTTAAAATTAGAAAGTTACCAGTGTCATATTGCAAATCAAGGAAAATTTAAGACTTGCTGACTCCTCAGAGAAAGCCCATGACTGCAAATTATAAATTCCTTAAATACTTGAGGCAAAGCTAAAAAAAAACCCACTTGCACAGAAACATTGCTGGATTTAAGAAAAGTCCTTGCTCCTGCTGCTTGCAATTTACCTCTGGCATTATTCTGGTCAGAATGATACCAGATCATGACCAGGGAAATCTCATGTAGCCCTTTTAAGGCAAGCTAGAGTTTCAGTAGTATGCTCTCAAATAAGGAACAATAAGCTGCTTTTCCACTGACTTACTGTCTCCCATCAGATTTACAGTACAAGCACGTTGGACCAGGAAAGTCAGTAGTATAATAAAGTAGATACCTACTTTTAAAAAAAAGTTTACTTACATGATTCATTTCCTCCTGGAGGCTGGTAAAAAGAAAGGCCCAAGGATACTACAGCTGCAATTTCTAATATAATTAATGTAACATCCTGTAGTGCTTCCCATACTAACTGAAGAAATGTTTTTGGCTTTTTAGGAGGTATAAAGTTCTTCCCAAAAACTGCTTCTCTCCTTTCTATATCTGCCGGGTTTCCACTTAAACCTATTTAACAATAAGACAAAGTTAGTTGAACTTGTATGCATTTCTCCCTCACTGATGTTTCCCATTCATGGAATCAAGTCCCACTCCATATTTCAGTAACAATACCAAAAAGCCATATCTCAAATATAATTATGTACGTATTACCCTTAAGTCAGTCACTTTAGAAAACCAGCTATATTTTATAATTCTCACCTTGCCAAAACAAAGTTGATGGTCTACCTGCTTAGTATGTCACTTAATATGATATAGTAACAGAGTAACAGTAACATTCATACCTTTGTTCAAAGTAAAAAAGTTTGCAAGACAAGATCATTAGTAGTTACAACTATTGAGACTGAGTAACACCATAAAGCTTTAGCAAGACCACAGCCTGTGAAGGCAGTACTGTTTCCCACTACAGGGATTCTGTATTAAGAGACAACATCCTAGGATCCTAAAATTAATGTAACATTTATAATCACATATTATAACAATATACTATAATATTAGTGTATTATTTAATATCTAAAATACTATTAACAGTTGTTGAAGCTCTTCAGGCATCATGTGGAAAGAGGTAACCACTTTATGATGCTACTTCCACCTGGACAGTAGTTTTTTGCTCTTCTGAAGCTTCACTTTCTATCTTCTCTCACACGGAGAGAGCCCATATTTAGCACTGTGCAGGATCTGTCACCTCAGTTCTGTACCTATCTTCATTCTTATATGGCATACTTCTTTGAGTCCTCTTCTATCTCAATTCTTGTACCAACCTTAAGGGACACTAGCAGGCAAGAATAAGGGTCTTTCGCTAAAGGGTACTGCATGCCAAGAATCTTAAAAATAAAGGAATACCAAGAATATTCAGTGCAAGGTCATGCACTCAAGGTCTTCTGTAAGTACCCCTCCTGTTTACTCCTGTAACAGTTGCCTCACCCACCATTCAGAATGAAGCCACTAGCATATTTTTCAAAGCAAAATGATCAAGCATCCAGCCATGCTTTTCAGAGCAAAAATCTCGATACTTCAACCATATTGCCCCCAAGGTTATCAGTACCTGTTTAAAGACAACTATTCTCTTAGAAACAATTTTTTTAATAGTTAACCCAACTGCTTATTGATAAAGGCATTGCAAATGTGCTAGGTAATCAGTAAGAACAGTAGCCACTGCAACTTGCTCTCACAATAAGTGGGGTGCTTAACACCTGTAATGGACATTTACTAGAATCATCACATGATAGTTCAAGACATCATAAGACTTTTCAAGGAGTGGGATTCAATGATCCTTGTGGGTCCTTTCTAACTTGGTATATTCTGTGATTCTGTGAAGACACCTTGATAAGACTACTGAATTGCAAAGCTCACTTTTAAAAGCTAACAACTGCTACATAATCACTTAACTGAAGAGCAAAATATTATGTGCAGATCTTCTCAAAAGTTAAATGAATTAATCATACTCTTTGTGTGTATAATACATTAGATTTATTATAACACTCTTCGATTCACCTTGCATTCATGCCTTTGAAGGTTTAATACAAAGGAGCAATTGTCTTCATCAGCCATAACACTACACTTCTTGCAATTCAAGCTTTAAGGTGCATACTTTCACTCTCAGCTCAAAGAGCACCACAAGACTATTTTCAAAATCAAGCTACATGTTACAGAAGCTCAGGGCAGCTTGGCCATTCCAAAAGGCTGGGCCATATTGTGATTTTGCAATAGATATCACTTCTCTATTCCTCTTAACATGGCAAAGTTTGGAAGATTATTTACATAGTGTCAGCAGTATCACTTTCCTCCTCCCTTTGCAGGGTACCACAGTGTAGAACATCAGAAATACAGCACTGGTCTATGAAGAATGAAAAGCATTTCTCAACAAGGCCATATAACGTCTAGGCTACTATCAGAACCACTTAGCCAATATTAGTAAATAAGTCTAGCAAAGACAAAAACCATTTGTAATTTTAGTATACACCATAATACACCATGCACCATTAATGAACTTGCTGCATTTAACACACAGCTGGCAATTTCACAATTAACACTCTACAATCCTGAGGTCAAAACTACTGCCATTATATTGTTCATTAGGTGTTTTAACTACGGTAATTTATGCTATTTGGAGTCAAGTGTGAAAAATATTAGGCAAGAGACTAGTTAATATACAGTACTCATATACAGTTTTTATTAGAAATCTAGAAGTTACTAGACAATCAAAACTATGTAGACCTGTGGAAATACTGATGGTGGTTTATCTGTCCAGAATGTAAGATGGACTTTTGCCATTAAAGATATGCCAAACATTCAATTTGCACATTGTATACATGTAAGCAGTAAAGTCTGCTCAGTATCCTTTTTTTGAGTAATACTGGTAAAGGACTGCTCCCATTTCTCATTTCAAATCAGATCGGACTGACACAAATTTTGTCTGAAAACAGATATTGCCTTACATTGTCAACAACTTCATAGCAAGAAATAAACCAAGATGAACTCATCCACTATGTAGCACGTCAGAACTACCTGTATTTTTCCGATGAAGCCACTAGTAATTGCGTAGTGGTCAGTGTTTCATATCATAAGGAAAGCACCTAATTAGGAAGAAGTGTCATAGGGCCTTGAAGATTACAAAGAGTTAGAACCAGTGTAACACAGTTCTAGTGTAACACTAGAGTAACACGTAGCAGTTTTCTGCACAGATCTTGCCTAGATTTTTTTCCATTAGAAATGTCTCCATTTCTATACTTACAACTTGAATTTGACAAAGTGGAGACCTAGTTCTACCTTTACAAGATCTCTCCAGTACTCTCCCCGAGAAATTTATAGCAGCTTACCTGACAGAGAGGCTGGTACTCTAAAGATTCATGCAGTGATTCAGAGTCAAAATGACACCTCTGTAGAGGACACTGCTCTAACTCATCTTACTTAATCTTTTCGGAGCTAATTAACATGTTCAACTGTTGAGGCCTCGGTGTGTTTATGAACTTCTCTCACACTTAAAAAGATGGTGCCCTTTTATCAAGTCAGTTGTTGTATTTAACTGATTGCAGCATACATCTAAATGCCAAATTCTTTTAAAAGGGAAAGGCCTTGATTACGCAGTCCTCAGTACTGCCCAATCAATCTGCAGGAAAGGTCATCTAACCCTTTCTAGTTTTAGTACGCTGACACTAATCATTCTTATGTGTCAACTTGTTTCTTACATTAAGAGACAAAGTGAAACCTGTAGTTTACGAGGTATTTGGTGCTTAGTGCATCATGACTATCTAAAATTGTATGCCCACCTAGTAATAATGAGCCTTAAACCTTGCAGATCACTGTAAAACAGGATTCAACTCTCGGTAAAACTCCTGATTATAGAAAACTATATCCCCTTCCACTGAGAAAGGAAACTGCCTTTCAGTATTATGCAGCAGGTCAACAGGGTAACAGGAGACTACTGGTCCTATCTAACGTGTTACACTGCTTGTACACTGCAGTGCTTCACACATACTTTACTAGTCCATTGATGCCAAGGAATAGAATTTTGCACTCCTTATATTTTACAAACTTCCTCATCCTGAAATTGGTCTATTCCCATTCACTGGTAGGTCAGCCATGTTAGCTGGCTACTTTCAGTTTGGTAAGAGAAACCCAGTTCATGTACTGATATAATTTCAGGAGTCTGGAAATCTGGTTTCAGAAGCAGATCAAGACAAAACATGCTAAATGCAAATGTACCCAGAGGTACCTTACGGCATTAGTAGGCTGTTCTTGGTCCAAGGAGACAAATCTTTCCATAGCATTTGTGAAGAACAGAAAGCAACGGCTCTCCAGGATTAAGACAGCAGGTATTTTACTGCCACCAACATGACAACACATTGGTTAAAAGCTGTGTGAGTGCTTAAATGCAGAGACACCACAATCTGCCGACATCTTGATTTTGGTAATTCTCAATCACTCCCAACAGCAGGACTTCACAATAAGTTTCAGTTACTTAAGTACTTCTATTTATCTACAGTTTACTGTAGGTACTACAGTTTAGTGTAGATACTCCAGTTTAAATATTTTATGAAGTGTGACTTGCATTTTTCACAAGTTAACACTTAGAGCTTTCATTTACATTGGAAGAAAGTAGTAAGAGATGGCTAGGTCCTTAAGGACAACTTCTGGAAGGTTTTCAGGAAGGAGACTTGATAAATTTATTTATTTATTCACATTTGTACAGTCTGTCTTGGAGTAGTAACTCTAGAGAGGAAAAGCATCAGGTAGCCACACAACAGAAGGCTACTTCAGTCAAACATGGCAAAGACTTTAAAGATGCTTATTTCTGGAGAATAAGATTGTGTAATCACTTTGCAAACCTTCAACTAAGAGTGACAGTACATGTTAATGCTTAAAGCTGTATGGATAGTTATTTTGGACAGCTCAAATGAAATTTACAGAAATACTATAGATTTAAAAACTAGATCCTGCTATTAAGAACTCAGTGTAGCACAAATAGAAAACAAATGCCACCAGTTTTAAAAATTGTTGCAATAGGGAATGCAAGAACTAGGTGGCAACACCAAAGCATTAATAAGCCCTGCATTAGACTATTAAAACCTTGGCCTCTACAACAGCATGATCTGAATTGTGAACTATAGGTCATATGGACTAGTCACAAAATTTATGCTTTCACAGTAAGTTGAACATTGCTATGTTGCATTGCTACTTCATATGTGGATGCCTACACCAATGAACTTTGTTCCAAAGTGCAACTTCACCACTAATACAGCATCTCACATGCATTTAGACCAACCGAAGAAAACTCTCAACTTACTTATTACTGTGGAATACCTTTGCCTTAGAGGAATAAGAAGCAATATTTTCTTATGGTAATTAAAATACTTCTATAAACTTGGTTATATTAAAACAAGTAGTTTGCTGACTAAGGTTTTTTCTAAATGGAGTTTCCTCAAGAATAGTGTTAAAATTGACTTACCTTCATTTGGTGAAGTTTTCAACTTTGTGCAGATGCCATGCACATCTCCATAGCATTCCTGTATTTTATGCAGTGCATCTGCAGCTCGAAGTTCCATAAGAGAACGGAGCTCTGCAAGAGTAACTCCAAAATCTCCATGATTAGCTTCTTTTACAGCATTTTTTACGCCACTATATGCAACCGAGTTGTTTGCCATGTCACCCATGATGCATGCAGTCTTTAGTGTAGACGATTTCCAGTAAGGAACAAGATTTCAACTTAAAATATTTCCAAAAGGAAAATAAATCCTTTGGGTATTAAGACAGTCAGGAGAGCAGACACATCACCCAAGCAAGAGATCCCGTCTGGAGAGATCTTTGAGGTTGTCCCATGGCGCGTTCTGTTCCCCAAAACCAAAAGGCATGTACAATCTAGGGAAAGAATAAATACACATTCAGTTACATAACAGCTATACTGAAATACCTAAGACAACCCTACTCATTGTATTGAGGATACAGAACAAATTTATTTATTTCCTATAATATTTTTAGTTTGCATTCAGCTGGCAAGAGTGACAAGGTATAAAATGGACGTTTCCCATACCAAAACAACCTTGCATTATTTTATTTCCTTAAACCATTAACTTCTTAGAACAACTGTTGTCTTTAAGACTTGCATTCTCCTTGGTATGTTGATATAGTCCATCATCAAGAGGAAGCCTTTAAAATCACCTAAAATTAAATCTGTTTCCAGGGAAATAGAGTTTGTAGCATCCACAACTGATGTCACATAGGGTAAGAACATACTCAAGTTAAAAATCCCCAGTTTTCAATGAGCCTTTCACCTCACAGTTTGGGAAGAGCAAGCTTTTGTGCGTTCCCATTAATTCATTTGTGCAAACCTCAAGAAAAACAATTTCAACAGTAAGCTAGGCCACGCAGTACTCTTGTATTATAAGTAGGATTATATCTTCAGCCAGACCTAAGTCTTAATACATTTTCACGTCCAGACAGTTTTAGCCTTGCTCCAGCCCATTTCATTCTAACTCAAGCCTCCCATAGTATCTGCATTTAGTTCTCTGAACAGAGCGGGAAATTGCATAATACCTGCCATCTTCCTACAGAAGGGATAAGGAGACTGAGAGCAGCTCTTCTGTCTGATTATCAATGCATTGTAGCTGAGAAATTAACATCTACCCACAGGACTCTAAACTTGCACAGGCATTCTATATATAATTCCTGCTCGGCTGACACATCTTGCACGTACACATGTATCTACACAATAGTACAGTGGTACAGTGCACACACAAACTCTTCATGCCTATATAAAGATCTGCTGTGTGTCAAAGACAGACACCTGACTGTGGTGTAAGTCAGCTTTATTGACATAATGGTGCATGATGAGCACATGTAACAATATATTGCCCTGCAAAACATTATGAGTCCCAGGCTCAGATGAACAATAGCTCAGACACTTCCAGGTCAACAAGACCCTCAGGTGTCATATACCTAGCAAAGGGAAATAGTTACCACTGACTGCACTGCTTTATAAAGGCAAAGAGTGAAACAAAAAATTCCTAGCTAGTGCCCTGCTGAGTTAGAGGACTGTTCAGGTGAACCACTGTGTCTATGTTAAATCCAGGTATAAGCACCTAATTACCTGAAATTTAAGGCCTTGGTTCCAGGAACAACTCAGATTTCTGCTCTGCAAACAATCAGTTTCAGCTACAGTAAATCTACCATTTAAAGCACCATATCACAGTACTTCGTTTTCACTGAGGACAACCACTGATGCTGAAAGACCCTGAAATGATGTCCTCTGACCACAAGTGACAGTCTCATCTCCAGCAGAACTAAAACTGCTCTTCTCTTTCCATCACAGGAGACTCTGAGAAAAGCACTGTCTACTGCTATTTTCTGAAGAGTGACAAAAAGGATAAAGCAACCCATATTAATAAGCAAAAAACTTCAACATCCTATAACATCAAAGTACCTAATTTAAAAATTAATTTTAAATCTTAATTGTTTTCTCTGTTAATTGCAAAAAAATATTACAACAGCTGAAGAGTCCATGATGATGGTGTTAACCTGCATGCTAGGATGTAGTTTTGACTAATACATAGCTGACTCCAATGTGTCCTGTTAGAGTATACTGCAAGTGAAGAAATTCATGCAAATCATGTATGAAAGACTCTTCTTTAAAGATGTACCACATTGTTATCTAATGCCCAAAAGCTGGATGCTGTTGGCCAGCTGGTAGCCTAGGAGGATTTATCAGCTGGCATCTGATCATAAGCTATGACAGTACAACAAGAAGCAGATCAGGCAAATGAGTCTGTATAGTTATGGAGAAGATGCTGCAGCTGCTAATTAGGCAAAAATAGACCAAGCAGAATGTCCCACAACCAATTACATCACATTTGATTCAACTTTAATTAAGAAAAGCTCTGTTCAAGCCTCTAGCAGGAGCCCTGCACTTGATGCCCAAATACACCCAAATCCAAGAGATGAGGATAGGAAAAGCTACAGCTCTAGTCACTGCTCACTTGTATGTATATTGAGTGGGCAAGACTTGCTTTCATATGCAAGTAAACTTGAGAGCAGTAACACTGCCTAATCATAACTCATTTTGCTTGCACTCCAGTTTCTAGCCTCTCTATGCATCTAAATCCATTTTATTAATAATAGTACAGTGATTAGCTATTACTAAGTTTATACTGAAAGGGCTTCTCAGGTGTTCCAAAGCACCTCAATAGCACCCTAACATACCAATGAGCCCTTAAGGTTCACAGATAAATTCAGTAAGCTTACATCAACACCACAAAAACAGTGCGGTTCTGCAGATCAGCGCTAGCAGTGTTACAGATTATTTGGCACATCCATGTTAGGAAAGAGCTGTGGAAAATTGAAAAGAACAGCATGAAGACTCTTCAAATTCTTAATACTGAATAACAGCACTTTTGCTCCAAATCATAAAAGTTGTTTAAACATTATCAATTGTTACATGAAATAATTCCAGAAAAAATCTGCTTCAGTAGCCCATTTTTGCCAAGCATTTCAACAGACAGCACAATAGCTTCTTGTCACACAGGTTCAGAATGGACTTAATTTAACATGCATTTTTCTGTAGGAAACAGCAAAGAAACTTTATTTAAGAAATATTCTTAATGCAGTTTGATGTAAAATCTTGCAACATCCAATCACTTCCTGTGAAGCAACTTTCAACAGTCCACTTTTGTAACATTAGTGGCGATGCATAATGAAACCATTACAGTGAAATTCAAGTATCATAAAAGAAAGCGTTTTTTAAGCTACATAGATCATCTAATAGCATTTACCTTATCAACTAATGAAATACCTTATTTGTTTTGACCACTGTTCCAGTTCTCAATTCTTGCATCAGCCATTTGAAATACGTTATTTGAGTAGCATGAGCTCTGGAGCGCTACAGTTCAAAGCAATTCACCTCTGAAATTCCAATCTGCTAACATCTCAAATTTTAAATTCAAAGAACAATTATCAAGCTAAAAGTCATTTAGCTGAAGTTCCAGTCTATTTTAAGTTTAATTCAGTTGAAATTATGTAATAGCGTCCAGCTTTAACAAGCTGCACACAGGACGATTTAGAGGAGTCTTTCATTAGACACATCAACTTTTGGATAATCCTTTGTCTATATATCACTGAGACAAGGAACAACTTTAAAGCTATTGTCTGTCACACTCAAGTGACTAAAAAACTTGAGCTGCAGAGGCACCTTTGAGTAGCAGCACCTACTCCCATAGGCAGGATTCAGCTACTTATGCAAATCTCTCCGAAAAGATCCTGCTGCTCTACGGCTGTAATAACTTCACAACATATGATGTCATTGCAACTGCTTATGAGGAATACTGCAGCTTAACTTTCTTATCCAAATCAAATTAATATTTATTGCTAAGGGAGTGTGCTTTGTTACCAGACAAAGATAATAATTCAAAACCATAACCCATGAAACAAAGGTTAGATAATTTTGTCACTATTAGATGTCTGACTACCTCGTAAGCCTCTGTAGTTGGACTGGAGAAAGGACAAGCTCCAAACAGAAGTCTACATGTAGAGATGCTTACCAAAGCATGAAGAGACTATAGATTACAAGCCTATTTAGTTCCACTGTGTTGATCAAGCTAGAAGCTGCAACATGTTTCTTAAAGTGTTCCTGTAATGACACTTTAAACATAGACTCACATTAACCTCCAGCCCCAAAAAGCAGCTACCATCAAAACAGTCTTGAACATTAATAGGCTTCAAAAAGGAGTCCAGAAATAGTCCTTCACAGGTGAAAGTATTTAATAATTAGTGATTTAGTATTTAGTCATTCCATCTATTTGAAAGAAAGCTATAATATGTGTTTTACAGTCATTAAAATTAAGGCTGCCTTGAAGAGATAGTTTGCAGAGGTCATGCACTGACAAGTGTAAACAGTAGAGTTAAAGAGTGGCACAACTACTATTACCCAGATGCACAGGACCTAGCATACCTTGGACCCCATCCCAAGCCTTTCCTATAGTTAAATTTACGTGTAATACTTCACCAACCTACAGGTAATGCAATTTTGTTAATCAATATTAAAACAAGGCAAACTCATACCTCAAAAGTCAAAGCTTGGGCAACTATAGATCTTGTGTAATTCAATTTAATTTATACATCTGCTCAAACACTATGCATTCAGATATTAAGCATTAGCTGGTACTAGCATTTGACCCTCAACAACACACTAAAAAAGCTGGGCACTGTAATATAGGAAAGGGCTTGCAAAGTGATTATCTCAGGAAAGCCTTTGTTTAATCTAATTAGTTCAATGAGTACCAGACAGATCTGCATACCAAAAGGTTGCTGTGATAAAAACTGTCCCATATGTTTCAGTTGTCATGCCTTTTAACCTGTTTCAAAACACAGCTTTTAAGATACCAAAAATACATAATATGCCTTGGCAGACTTTAGTGTAGGTATGCTCCACAGCTTCAAGCCATCACATTCAAGCCATTGTGGGTGAGGGAGGAAAGACAAGGGGAAGAAGCTGTCCAGAATACTATTAAAATGGAATATTATTATAATGGAAAGTAACTGTAACTTAGAAAGTAAGGTGGGAATCACACTGAAAATGACTGATGTCTTCTGCTCTAGAGGGTCTTAGTGTAAGAGACATACCCTCACACTGACTTGACAGGCTACAGAAACTCACTGCCTGTTTCATAAGAAATATGAATGAATGCTAACGAAACAAAATGTTAATACAAAACAGTATGTCTTTACAGGTCACTATCCCATAAGTTAAAATGTGCCTAACCGAACAACTAGGAGTTAAATCATTTCAGTGGCATGCTGTTGTTTTAGTGCAAGCATCTCAGACAGCCTGGCTTATGAAGAGACAAGTAAAAGTAGATTGAAGAGCTAAG